TCTGTGACCCCTCCTGAGGGGCTCTGCGAACCCTGACTGAGCCTGAGGCAGACACACTCAGCGTGCCCACGTTCAGTCTTAGAAATTGTTGCAAAGTCTGCGTCTCTGCATGTGGCCTGGGGCTGGTGGCTTGTCCTTACTTTGTGCTTATTCGGGAAATGCACGAGAGCCCCTGGGTCCTTATGGTGCAGCACTGTCTGGTGGCAGGTGGTAAATCCAGGCCCAGTCTGCCCACATGCCCCAGGGAATGAGGACAGTTTCCAATATTTGGCTCTGGCAGCCACAGCTCAAGGCAACCATTACTGTCATTACCGCTCAGGCTGTTGAACGTATATGAGCTCCTCACTCACCATGGCTCCACACTCAGTAGGCTGAAAGCCCCCTTAGAATTATCCATGGGAGGGAGTGCATAGGCCACACAAGGCGGTCATGGAGGGCAGGGGTCTCCTTCTCTATGGAGCAGAGGCTGTCAGTGATTAGACTGAGCCCGCTGGCCATTCTCAATCGTTAGTAGCTATAGAAATGGCATTTGACCTCCAGGAACTTTCTTTCTCTTCCCTTTATGCCCCAAGGTAATGGTTCACAGTCAAATGAGACAAGTGACTTTTCAACTTCAGCGCTGTTGTCTTGAAAAAACAGCACAACTACGCTGGTTGCGGTCTTGTCCATGAAGCTATCATACCAGAAACCCCTGGAGGCCACCTGCTCCTGAAAGGCAGTGCGGTTTGCAGCCCCCCTGCTCCTGATGAGCCTCCTCCCCAGTGAAATGTGATGCCCAGCAGCACCTGGTGGGGCTCTAGGGCCACCTCATGCCCGGTCAGACCACGTGGTCCTTCTATGCTGGTGTGCTGGGACCCCGCAGGGTGCCAACCTGCCTCATGGGCATAGCATTTCCACACGTGAGAAACATGTGCACCGGGCAGGAGGAAAACAGGACCTGGCCCTGGGACAGACCCCAGTAGATGTTATTTGAGCTTTTCCTGGTGAGAGCTGTTACAGCTGACAAGCTAAGAGGACCCACCTCCTCCTTCATGCAGGACTTCCGCAGTCCTGGGTTTAGATGCCAAGGCTTTCTGGCTCCACTGTCTCCCTGACCACAACAGTGTCTAGCAGGAGCTCCTGAGGGTAAAGTAGGCTCCAGCCCCTCCCTGAAGGTCACCTCCTGACAATGGTCAACAGGTATGCATTGACCTTGCTGGAAATGCACTCGGGGTGCCAAGCCCTCTGTGCATCCCTCTGGATGTGCATCCCTCTGTATCTCACTGTGCAGTTTCGTCGATCCTTTTTCCCCAGTGGAGCCTACTTACGAGGTCCCACCTCCTTCTCACAACCACCGAGTCTTTGTGAAGCTACACTTTCCGTTCCTATGGTTTCTGCTGTCCAGCAATCCTGCCCTGGATCCAGCCAAAAGAAGCCACGGCCACAGTGTGGACTCCCTATGTGTGCTGGGTGGAGGTTGGGTGGAGGTCGTCTGGATGAGTCATGTGCATGCCTCCCCCCACCACACATGCATCACCTGGCTGTCCTGAGATCTGGGGCAGCCTCGGTGCTCATGACTAGGAATGAATGGACGCATGGAGGGATCTGCAGAAATACCAGCAGCAAGGCAACTGCAAAGGCTTCCCTTTCTATTCAGGTGCCTACTTTCTGGTCCCTCCCGCTCCCTGGGGTGCCAGCCCAGCTGACAGGCTGGAGCTCCCTGGGAGACCCCAGGCCCAGGCAACTCCCAAGAAACATCCCCTCCCCCTTCCTGAGGGCAGGGCTGAGCCCTGAAGCCTTAGGGCGTTCCTGGTGGGGCAGCCTGGTCCCAGACCCACCAGTGACGGCACCGAGAGCCACCAGTATTCACTCCTGGGACATGGAGACTGTACCAGGGATCCCCAGATATTGAACGGGGTGAACGCCATAAAATGTCAGTCAAGCAGTTGGGCATTTAAGTCAGTAATAGCTGGGTGAAGGTAAGACACTTTGGGTTTAGATCCGTTTGGAGGCAGAGAGCCCTGGTGGTGGAGGAGGGTGAAGACAGCCCCGAGGGGGAGGGGCGGGGGGAGGTGGGAGGGGAGGAGGCATGGGGGAGTTTAGGGGAGTAGGTAGGGGGAACTGTCTGAGGTCTCCATGAAATGCACAACTTGTTTGAAGCCTCACATCTTCTCTTAAGAATCCATTCTATGCCGTCCATGCTTGCAGCTTGTTTAATAATTTTAATTGCTTTAAAGTAGGCACCGCTGAGTAGAGTGGACATGCCCGGGAAGAACTCAGGGTGACTCTGCAGCGGCTGAGGGTGAAGAGGGGCAGGTTGGAGCAGCTCTGTCTCCAGGAAGGCGCCGAGGCATGTCACTCGGGGCTCCTGCACAGTGAAGCCCTCTGGGACAGGCCAGCCTCAGGACGTCCTTCGCAACTTGCGCAACACTTCTCTGTCCAGCCTATAATCTTGTTTGTGTGCTCATGAACTGCCAGATGTCCAGATTATCTCAGAACCCAGTCCTTCCCTTCATTCACCTTTATTCAGATGGAAATGGTGGCGCTTCTACTACGAATTTGAAGGGCGTAGTTGCAATCCTGAGGGATTTTCAGTTTCAGTTTTTCCGAACAGGCAACAAAATCCAGTCTAAGGAGACTGTAATACCACACATGACCACTAGAGGGGAGTTCAGCCCTTCTGAAGGTGGCCCAGGGGGCCTTGGGTGCTCCCACCGGTCCCCTTCTCTTCCTCACACCCCAGAACGCTTACCCCTTCCTCCCTTCCTCCCTTCCTCCCCTACCCAGGTGGCTCTTCCTGCCCCACCCTTCCAAGGATGCACTCCCTTCCCTGTAGAAATAATCATTCCTCCCCAGCAATCCCTCTGGCTTACAGACTTGGCAGCCCCGAAAGTGCACAGTTCTACCCCCTCTCCACCCAATGCCTGAGGTTCCGCTGAGTGGGAGGGGGCTCCACCTCACCCAGTCCCTCAGAGCTGAAATATTTGCCCCCCAAATGCTCTCGGGACCCACGTGGGGTAATTGTGGCATCACGACCATGCATTTGCAAAGGGTGACTTCCTGCCGCTACTCATCTGAGTACAGGTAGACCAGAACCTCAGGAGAGACATAAACCCATATGCTGGCCCCAATTTAAAGTGTTGGTGGGACCCCGAAAGTGCATCCCTTTCCCTCACCTGAGTTCCAAACCAATAGACAATTAGGCAAAACCTTGACACAAGTCATTAACTTTTATCTTCCTGATGAAAGCTGGATTGGGGTGTTGGCTCAGGATGTGACAAAAAAAAGATCCCTGACACTGAACCCCAGAACTGGGCTTATCCACACAGCTTCAGGCTACTCCAGTCAACCACCCCCTTTCAGCCCCAGAGGCCCCTGGGCTCCTATCCTGTGCACTTGACCTTGGAGAAGCTGACAGAGGCCTGGCCTGTCCAGCAGGATGAGTCCGGGGAGACAGACCCAGCAAGGAGCAGACACACCCCTTCCACTGAACCCCCAGTCAGAGTGTCCCCCCAGAAGGGAGGGAGGGTGGGGGTGCAGCTGAGCCCACTGATGGGTATGCTGCCCCCAGGAGGGGCCACTGGAGCAAGGCCTGAGTGTTCCCAGTTGGTCTGTTTCTGCACCCATGAGGTGCCACCGTTCGCTCCCGCCCTTGAGTTCTCAGGCCTGGACAGAAGCTGCTCCTGGGGACACTCAGGAAGCCGGTCCCTGTGGTGGGCCCTCTACCCCGAGGTCCCTCCTCAGTCACCAGCCCTCTGAGGTCCGGTAGCTTGGGCTACTTCCCTGACCACGGGCAAGCTGCCCTCGCCGCAAGTGCCCGGCACTCCCTTATTTCTGCAAATCAGTCCAGCAGGATTGTGGAGTTCAATCTGCGTCTTAAATTCGTCCTATCCCTTTTCCTAACCTGGGCAGCTGGGGCATTTTCTGGATCAAATGAAACTGCTTTCTGCACAGAGGCCTCCGGATTCCTCAGAAACAGGGCTGCTCTTGCAGAGTGAGGCGCGTGCCCGGCTTCCCCCAGCCCCACAGGAAAGGCATCTTGCATCCACCAGCAGCAGTTCTAGCATGGGAGTTCTCACCCCCATCACCTCCCACCCCAACACCCCCAACCCCCACCCCCAGCCGCCTGCTGCTAGAGGGCCTCAGACTCCATGTGCTCATCCTGGTGACCCTAAGCAGATCCAGGAAAAGCTAGTGCATGTATACCAACACAGCCAGGCAGTGGTCCGGATCGGCCTGCTGCCTGAGGACAGACGAGAGAGACAGGACGCTAGGAAAGGCTGATGTCTGTGTCAGGCCTTGTCTGGCCACGTGCCCCATGGAGGCCAGGAGCAGAGGACAGCCATGCCCAACAGAGACTCAGCTCTCTGGTCTCTTTGTCCACAAGGTGAAGGGGAGAAGGAGAGAGAGAGAGGCAGGGAGAGAGGGCCAGAGGCACCTGCTCAACACAGAGACCCTACGCACCAGACAAGGTGTCCTCATCAGTGTCCTGGAATCTCTCCCAACCAGGCTGATGTTTGCTCCTTGGAGGGACAGAAAGAACTGAAGCAGAAAGAGGGTAGAAACTGTGTTCCCTGCATTTTCTCATTTCATTTGCTTCTCTGCTGACCGCGAGTAAGTCTTCCTGGCCACTTCCCATCCTTTGTGGCACGATGACTCTGAATCAAGATGAACAATCTGTGGGCAGCCCCAACTCCAAGGTCGAGGGTCACCCTCCCAGCTGGGGTCGCCTCCCTCTCGTGTCCAGGTCCTCTGGTGCTGAGCTCCACCTCCACCCAGAGGGAGCCGCCCTTTCAGCCTCCCCGTGCCTTCTGTCCAGGTTTCTCCCGGTCGTCCCTGGAGCTGGCCCACAGTCAGCGCACCTCACACCCTGGCACCTAAGATGTTAACCATTGTCTCCAGCCTCTGGCCCCAGGGCCTTGCAGATTTCTTTCTCATCTCTGGCGGACTTCCAGGAATGCCAAGAACATTCTGCTGGATTGGCGATGCTGCGCATGGCTGTCTCCAGCCCCGTGTCCGGAGGCTGACTCAGTGGGATGCAAGGCAGGAGAGAAGATTGGGTGCTTGGGACTATCCCTGTTTCCCCCCCAGAGTCAGCTCGTCAGGAGGAAGGGGCAAACTTGGAGTTTACACCCCCAACCCCGTATTCTACCCTGATACCTTCTCAGAAGGCAGTGGCAGCTGAGGACAGCAGGCTCACACAGACGCCTGAGCTTGTCCCCCGGGGTCCTCCTTCCCTGGCCCTCCAGGCCCTGAGCCCGGCAGCTGCCGGAGGAGGGAGACACCGAGATACTTTCACTTCTCCTTTCCCCTTTTGGGCGGAGTCCTCTCTGGCCAGTGAGCTCGCAGACTTCCTGCTCAGCACCCTGTACCCAGGCTGTGGGGACCGGAGGGGCCCCAGGCCAAGCTCAGGGCCCAGGCTGGAAGATGGCTCACGGGGGCGTCAACCTCAGCACCAGGTCAGTCTTTACCTTCCTCCCTCCACCCTTTCTCTCCGGCCATGCTCGTCGGGGTCTTTGGCTTAGATACTAAATTAAACCTCACTTGCAATGTAATAAGTTACAGGAATGTGTGATGAGGAAATGGGATTGCTGAACGGCAGCGGGTGGCTTGCTGGTGTGAGCCCAGCCTGCCGGCCACAGCACGCATAATTGCTTCACAACTGCTGCTCAGCTGACAGGCCTGTGGCTGTCCTTTGGGAGGCCTGCAGGAGGGAGCTGTTATTTCCTCTTGACCTCTGAACCCTCTCTGTTCTCCCAGGCCCAGTCTATCTTTATGTAGATCATTTCAAGGAACACAGTTTAGAAAACAGAAAAGTCAGGGTAAACACAGGACTTGTGTCCAAACCCGGGTGCTGTGGTCTGATACCTGTCCGTGAACGTGTTGTTTGGGTCTGACGCTGCTCACATGTCTGGCTGGGGGTCTGGCTTCCTGCGGTGATTCTGATCAAATCAAGTAAAAGGAAGAGAAAGGTTCCAGCCAGCCAAAGACGCATGCAGGCTGTTTTCATTTTTCCTTTGATTTTCTGTTCTGGAAAGGATTATACCTCTGACAAGGACCAGGGTACAAATCCTATCTTTTCTCTAGTGATGAGAAATAACATTACCAAATATTTTTAAAATTTTTATTTTTTAATACAAATAAATATATTACATATTTTTCTTCATAACATTTCAAACAAAATGGAAGTATAAATAAACAAAAAGGCCCGTTCCCCACCTACCCCCCACCGCAGCTTCCAATCCATCCAGGTCTTGGAAAGTATTGCACACACAGCCTGCCAGATCTTTTCCTGTGCATTTACACATATAACGTATTTTCCTAAATACATTAATTTGTGTCTTGCTTTTTAATCAATGGGATTATATTGTATATGCCACTTTGCATTTTGCACTTAACCTGTGACAATCATAGAGACCACCTTAGTAATCACGTAGATCTATTTCATTCTTTTTAATAGCTGCATGCTGTTGACTTCCATAGAATCTATGTACCATAATTTTTGAACCATTCCCCTACTCCCTGTCCCCACTAATGAACATTTAGGTTATTTTCAGTTGTTCACTTTAACCAACCACTGTTGTAAGCAACGATTATCTATTTCTTTATGTCTTTGCACATTTACAAGTATTTGTCTTGTGTCAATGACTAAAAAAAAGTGGAATTGTTGAGGCAAAGGGTACTAATGTTTACCCTTGTTTACAGATCCAAGCTGCCTAAGCAGCTGAACCAATATATTCTCCTACCAAGAGCAAATGAGACTTCACATACCCAGACTTCACAAAGGGGGTAGATAAAAGAGTTGCATCTTGTTTTAATGTGCATTTTCCTGATTACATGGAGGTTGAACAGTTTTCCATGTTTTTTTTATTATGGTATCATTAATATACAATCACATGAGCAACATGGTTACTAGATTTCCCCCATTATCAAGTCCCCACCCCCACCCCATTACAGTCACAGTCCATCAGCACAGTAAGATGCTATAGTCACTACTTGTCTTCTCTGTGTTGTACTGCCTTCCCTGTGCCCCCCGACATTATGTGTGCTGATCATAATACCCCCTAATCCCCTTATCCCTCCCTTCCCCCCACACTCCCCAGACCCCTTTCCCTTCAGTAACTGTTAGTCCATCAATTTTTCATGTTTATTGGCCACTTAAATTTCCTCTCCTATGAACCACTGGTTTATTTGTTGCCAGTGTTATACAGCTGAAATGACTGTCCTTTCTTTAATGATAAGGAAGAATTTGCTAAATATTCTGAGAGTTATAAATATATTTTCCTCGCCTTTTAACTTTGTTTAGGGTGACTTTAGTTTACTAAAGCCTAAACTTTATGGTATAGAGACATATTATAATATTGATTTTATAAAATAGACGTACTTTTTGCTCTTTTTAATGTAGAGATATTATAGTATTAATTTTATAAAATAAAATAAATGAAGCAATGCAGAAAATTACTAATGAATTCCATGTACACTGCCAACCATAGTTCTGTGTTCCTGAGATGTAAGACTCAATTCTGCCTTTATTTCAGGGAAAGTTTCTTCTCTAATATCTCCAAAACCTTTTTCTTTTTCAATCTTGGGCAAAACTATTCTCCTGCTGGAGCAGCTTTAGCCTTCATAGCTTTTATTGGCCTCTAAATTTTCATGTCTTTAGCTTTTTACTTTCTGTTCATAGTAGTTGTCTCTTAACTTTTCTTCCACGACAATTACTTAATTTTTAGTTGTTGTTCAGTCTCTTGTTATTTCTAGTTTTTTTAAGTTACTAGGTCTACTTGGAGGGCAGGTCTTAATTTGAGTTCTACAGCTCTGCAAGCCTCCCTTCGAACCACGTTTTCTTATTCCGTCATTCCGTCCTCCTGCTCTTGTTCTCAGGTTTATGGTGCCGAGTGATCTGGCGCTGAGTTCTTCATCTGCTAGGTTTTCTTCCCCACTGGCTCTGTCTGCGGTTTGGCTTCTGTATGACTTCACTTTCTTTCGCATGTGCCCGCCATGGTTTTACAGCCCGTTTCTCTCATGCTGGAGAGTGCAGCCGCCCTGACCCCTAGTTTACACAGTCTTAATCTGGGCGCCTATTTTTGTTTGATTTTCAAGCCTCCTGTCTCATCTGAGACCCAGTTGCCTCCCATCTGATATACAATTGGAAGGCTCTATTTTTTTTCTTATCAATTCTTTCTGAGGAACCTCTAATTGCTTAAGCCATTCTTTCTTGACTATCTACAGTGCTGTCCCGCTCATTAACCAAGTGACCACATACTCAGGGGATCTCCTTGCGCAGTACCGACTGTCCTAGAGAGGACGGTTTCGTGTGAACTACTGATACCTGCGAGAGTAATTTTCCCACCCCCTTTACTACTTCCAAAGCATCTTGGCATTCCTTTCCATCTCCAAATCACCTCGTCAGGATCTTGCTGGGAGTCTGTTTGGGACTGCATTGAATCTATAGATCCATTTGAAGAGAGTTGACATCTTGATAATATTGTGTCTTCTCGCTCATTAATATGGTAATGTATATAACCAATGTTAAAATATCTTCTAGAAAAAAAAGTATTTTTCTGCCTAGAGGTCTTAACTTTTCTGCTAGATTTATTCATAGATACTTGATATCTTTATGCTATCAAATCAACATAATTTAAAATCAACTTTCTGCTCATTACTAAGATATAAAAATCAATTGAAACTTTGTGAAGTGCTTTTTAATTATAATAACTTTTACATATATGTATATATGGATTTACATAATGTAAATTATAATCATAATGACAGGTTTGTTTCTTCCAGTCCAATCCTTATACCAATTGCTTCTTTTTCTTGCCTTACTCTGTGGGCAAGGACTTTTGTAGATAGTGAAAACAAGCAGTGTTAGTAACCATCTGTATCTTGATCCCAGTCCAAGAGGAAAGCTTTTATCATTGCACAAATGTGGATGATGTTTGCTGTAGGTTTTCTTTTTTAATAAAAGACTTACACAAATTAAAGAAGTTTTATAGTTAGCATCTGATTCCTTTATTTTTTGCTGTTTATAGTTTGGTATCTGATCTTACAGTTTTTTTATTCAAGTATAGTTGACATACAATCTTACATTAGTTTCAAGTATGCAACACATTTATTCAGTGGTCACCCATATTAATAAATCCTTCCCCCCACTAGTACAGCTACTATCTGTCAACATAGGAAGATGTTACAGCATCACTACCATCCCTGTGACCAACCTACATTATGACTGAGAATTTTTGTGCCCCTTTATTCTGCTTAACCTCCCCACCCAACCACCACAACCCCTCTCCCATAGTAACCTCCAGTCCCTTCGCAGTGTCTATGGGTCTACTGCTGTTTTGTTCATTTTGTTTTGCTTTGTATTTATATTCCACAAATAAGTGAAATCATGTGGTATTTGTCTTTTTCACCTGACTCATTTCACTGAGCATAATACCTTCTAGATCCATCCATGTTGTTGTAAATGGAAGAATTTCTTTTCTTTTTATGGCTGGATAATATTCCATTGTGTATATGTACCACATCTTCTTTATCCATTCATCTATCTATTGCATATTCATGGCTCTTTTATCATATATTAGTTGACAATATATGTGTGGGTTTATACCTGGGCTCTCTATTCTGTTCCATTGATCTGTGGGTCTGTTTTTCTGCCAGTACCAAATTGTTTTGATTATTGTAGCTTTGTAGTAGAGCTTGAAGTCAGGGAGCTTGTTCTTTCTCAAGATTGCTTTGGCTATTCAGGGTCCTTTGTGATTCCATATGAATTTTAAAACTATTTGTTCTAGGTCATTGAAGAATGCTGTTGGTTTTTTGATAGAGATTGCATGGAACCACTAGACTGCTTTTGGCAGGATGATCATTCTGACAATATTAATTCTTCTTATCCATAAGCATGGAATAGATTTCCACTTACTTATGTCTTCTTTAATTTCTCTCATGAGTGTCTTATAGTCTTCAGAGTATAAGTCTTTTACTTACTTGGTTAGGTTTATTTCTAGGTATTTTATTCTTTTTGATGCAATTGTAAATGGAATTGTTTTCCTGATTTCTCTTTCTGCTAGTTCTTTGTTAGTATATAGGAATGCAACAGATTTCTGTATATTAATTTTGTATCCTGCAACTTTGCTGAATACATTTATTAGGTCCTCATACTTTCAGTATGTGAGAGTTCATGGCCCTTTTTTCTGATGTTTCTGCCAGTTTTCATGCACAAAGATTTTTTAAAATAAATTTTTTATTATGGAATAATTTTATATTTACAGACAAGTTGCAAAGTTGGTATACTGTTTCTGTATACTGCACATCCAGTTTCATTTTCCTGTAACATTATCCTCTTACATTGCTGTTGTATGTTTGTCAAACTAAAAAACCGGTACCAGTACATCACTGCTAACTAAACCCCAGTTTCATCAGTTTTTCCATTATTGCTGGTTTTCAGTTACAGGATTCAATCCAAGACACCACACTGCATCTAGCCATCCTGCCACCTCTTCTCTTCCGGTCTGTGACAGTTCTTAGTCTTTCCTTGTCTCTCATGTCCTTGACAGGCATTTTGTAGAACACCTTTCACTTTGGGTTTATCTTGCTGTTTTTCACATGTTAGGTAGGGTTTCGGGCTTTATGAAAGAAGACCAGGAAGTGAAGTGGCTCTGCGTCACGGCATGTCGGGGGCATATCACCCTGAGTTCAGCAGGGATGTGGACCTTGAGCATTTGGTTAAGGTGGTGGGTGCCAGGCTTCTCCACTATAAAGTGACTGTTTGTCCCTTTCCACACTCTATTCACAAAGATTATTTTGCTTATTTTGCTAGTCATCTTTGATTGGATACTAGCATTGTACTTGGAAAATCTATTTATAGGTAAAGTACAAGATTGCAGTGAAGGTACTAGCCTTTGGAAAGCATTTGTTTGCTACATCCAGGGTACAGCCAGTCCAGAAATGCTTTAACACAGGCTCAGAACCTGAAGAACCCAAGTGGTTCACTGGAAAGGCAATTCCAGGCCAGAGATGTCCCCTCCACTTTGTTTTCACTGTGAAGGAGGCCAGTCATGGTCTGGGCTCCTGCGGGGCTCTCCACCCTGGGTGGACTCAGGATTCTTTCTATCCCTCTCAGTCCTGAGGCTGTGCATCCTGAGATTCTGAGTCTTTGGGATCAGCAAATACCCTCCAGTCCTAAGTAGTGCTGTGCTCGCTACCTCTCCAGTTCTGGCCTTCTGTTTGCTTTTGCTGGGTTAATCCTTAGCTGTACTTTCATCTCTTCAGTAACATTTTTTAAAGATTTTTCCAGCTTTTATTTTGCTAGAAAGCTGTACTGCTTGTGACAGCTGGGGAGACTGAGGTTTTTAGAATCCTGTCCCGTCACGCCAGAAACTTACTGTCATTGTACAGTGGTTGGTTGGTTAACTGCCTCGTTTCAAAGTGTATAGCTTGAAGCTTGGTTGAGGCTCAGGAGGTTTTCCTCTGAATGCCTCTGAGATTTTTGTCTTAGCATTTTTACTGCAGTAAGTCTAGATTTGTTTGGTGTTGGGTTTTGGTTTTTTGATTGATTTTTTTTTTGCATTTATCATTTTGGGGTTTGTAGAGTTTCTTGAATTGGTGAGTTTTATGGAAGTATAGTTGATATACAATATTATGTTAGTTTCATGTGTACAACAGTTTTTCAGCATTTATATACATTATGAGATGAACACCACCATAAATCTACTTACCATCTGTCACCATAAAGTTATTGCAATATTATTGATTATGCTCCCTATGCTGTACTTTACATCCCTGTGACTTATTCTTTTTTTAATAATTGGAAACTTGTAGCTCTTAAACCCCTTCACCTATTTAGCTCATCCCCTTCCCCCATGGCAACCATCAGTCTGTTCTCTGTATTTATGAATCTATTTCTGTTTTGTCTGTTCATTTCTTTTGTTTTTTATATTCCACCTCTAAGTGAAATCATATGGTATTTATCTTCCTGTGTCTTACTTATTTCACTTAACATAATACACTCTAGGTTGATCCATGTTGTTACAAATACTAGGATTTCTTTCTTTCTTTATGGCTGAGTAATATTCTATTGTGTGTGTGTGTGTGTGTGTGTGTGTATGTGACATCTTCTTTATCCATTCATCTATCAATGGACACAAGTTGCTTCCATTATCTTGGCTATTATAAATAATGCAGCAATGAGAATAAAGAGGCATATATCTTTTCAAATTAGTGTTTCATTTTCATCAGATAAATACCAGAAGTGGAATAGCTGGATTGCATGGTTATTTCTAGTTATTTCTATTTGTAATTTTTTGAGGAACATCCATACAGTTTTCCATCATGGCTGTACCACTTTACATTCCCACCACAATGTCTAAGGGTTCCCTGTTCTGCACATCCTTGCCAACACTGGTTACTTCTTATCTCATTGATATTAGTCACTCTGACTGATACAGGTTGATATCTTGTGGTTTTGATTTGTATTTCCTTGATGATTTGTGATGGGCATCTTACCATGTGTCTGTCAACCATCTGTATGTTTTCTTTGCAAAAGTGTCTATTTAGATTCTTTGCCCATTTTTTATTCATATTGTTTGCTTTTTTGGTGTTAAATTATAAGAGTTCTTTTTCTATTTTGGATGTTAACCCCTTATTGGCTGTATGATTTGCATATATCCTCTGCCATTTGGTAGGTTGCCTTTTCATTTTGTTGAGAGTCCTCTTTACTGCGCAAAAGCTTTTTAGTTTGATGTAGTCTCACATATTTCTGCTTTTGTTGCCTTGCCTAAGGAAACAGATCCAAAAAATATTGCTAAAAACTGATATCCAAGGCGTATTGCCTATGTTTTCTTTTAGGAGTTTTATAGTTTCCGGTCTTACACTTAGGTCTTTAATCTATTTTGAGTTCATTTTTGTATATGTTATAAGAATGTGGTCCAGTTTCATTCTTTTGCATGTAGCTATCCAGTTTTCCCAATACCATTTATTGAAGAGGCTACCTTTTCTCAATTTTATGTTATTTCCTCCTTTATCATAGATTAATTGATCACATAAATGTGGGTTTAGTTCTGGGCTCCCTATACTTTCCCATGGTTCTATGCATCTGTTTCTGTCCCTGTACCATATTGTTGTAATTACTATATCTTTATAGTATAGCTTGAAATCTGTGGCATGATATCTCCAGCTTCATTCTTTCTCAATATTGCTTTGGCGTTGTGGGGTCTTTTATGGTTGCAAACAAATTTTAAGATTATTTGTTCTAATTCTGTGAAAAAAGCTATTGGTATTTTAGTAGGGATTACATTGAATCTATATATGGCTTTGGGTAATATAAGTATTTTAATTATATCGATTCTTCCAATCCATGTGCATGGTGTATTTTTCTGTTTATTTGTGTCTATTTATTTCTACTTATTGTTTATTTCTGTTATTTCCTTTATCAGTGTCTTAAAATTTTCAGAGTATGGATATTTCACCTTGTTCTTTAAATTTGTTCCTCGGTATTTTTTTTTTTTATTGATGCAACTGTAAGTGGTGAGAACAGGCATCTCATCTTTTTCCTGATTTTAGCAGAAAGGCTTCCATCTTTTCACTACTGAGTATGATGTTAACTTTGAGTTTGTCACATATGCCTTTATTTTGTGGAGATATATTCCTTCTATACCCTCTTTGAGAGTTTTCATCACAAATGGATGGTGAACCTTGTCAAATACTTATTTTGTATCCATTGATATGATCATGTGATTTTTATCCTTCATTTTGTTTATGTGGTGTATCAGATTGATTGATTTGTGGGTATCTAACCATCTTTGCTTCCCTGGAATAGATCCCACTTGATCATGGTATATGATACTTTTAATGTATTATTGAATCTGTTTATCAATACTTGGTTGAGGATTTTCATTTATCTTGTATTTATCTGGTTTTGATAACAGAAATGCAGTAGACTTATGATAATTTGGAGTGATTTGAAATTTTTTAAGAAAATGTGTTGGAATGGTTTTTTTAATATGGAAATTTTCTGTTTCTTGAAGGATTGCTGGAAATTACCCATAAAACTCTTCGAAACTGACATCTGTGTGTGTGGGTGTGGAGAGATGCAAGGGTTAAGGTAGGTCTGGAAGCACATTATACATTTCCTCTATTACTTTTAGTTCTATTTAATTCTCATATTAATTCTCGGTTTTGGTCATTCATATTTTCCTAAAATGTAACCATTTTTTCTAGATTTTCATACTAATTTGTAGATAAATACACAGGATTTCATTTATACCATTTTCATCTTTTCCTTAATTATAGACATATTATTTTCCTTATTCTTATCATTGTTTATTTGTGTCTTTCTTTTGTTTTCTTGGTCAAACTTTCTATTTTGTTGTTCTCTTCAAAGAATCACCTTTTGGTTGTATTGATCCTTCACTCTTATTTTTTGTTTGAGATTTAATTAAACCCTGCCTTTTATTATCATATATGTATTTCTGTCTTTCCTCTTTGCAGTCAACGTCCTTGGGGAGATTACCTTGATATTTTTTAATATCTTGATTTAAAGCTTAATTTATTTTTCAATATTCTTTGTAATAAATGCATCTTAGGCCATGAATATTCATTTCTATACCACTTTGGGTATGTCTGTGGTTTATATTTGTTTTCATTGGAGTTTATTTCTTAATTATCTGAATTTTCTATTTTGATTTGCTCTTTAAACTAAGGACTGTTTAGAAGAAGCTTTGAAAATTTCTCAGTGGATAAGATTGGGGGAAATCTTCCTTTGTCCTGGTTTATTCTGATTTTATTGTTCATTCTAATCTTATCATATGTGGTTTGAAAATGTGTCCCTTAAGATGTTAATTTGAGAGTCTGTTGTATAATTTCTTTTGTGGCTTAATGCAAAACATTTTTGAGGCATCTCCATGTCTTTTCCAATCCCTTTATTTTCAATTTTGTTGAGCTGAGTTATATGTTCCATGTAAGTAGAATATAGCATATACAAAATTACCTCAAATGGATCAAAGACTTGAATGCAAGACCTGAAACCATAAAATTCCTAGAAGAAAACATAGGTGGTAACCTCCTTGACATTGGTCTTGGTGTTGAATTTTTGTATCTGACTCCAAAAGTAAAAACAAAAATAAACAAATGGGAAGACATCAAACCAAAAAGCTTCTGCACAGAAGAAGAAGCCACCAACAAAATGAAAAGACAACCTGCTGAATGGGGGAAAATTTTTTCAAATCATATATATGATTGGGGGTTAATATCCAAAATACATAAAGAACTCAAACAACTCAAAGCAGAAAGCCCCAAACAATCCAATTAAAAATTAGAGGATCTAAATAGATACTTTCCCAAAGAAAACATGTATGTAGCCAACAGGCCCATGAAAAGATGTTCAGCATCACTAATTATCAGGGAAATGCAGATCAAAACCACAATGAGCTATCGCCTCACACCTGTCAGAATGGCTTCTATCAAAAAGACAAGAAACAACAAGTGCTGGTGAGGATGTGGAGAAAAGAGAACCTCCTACCCTGCTGGTGGGAATGTCAATTGGTTTAGCCGCTATGGGAAACAGTATGGAAGTTCCTCAAAAAATTAAAAACAAAACTACCTATGATCCAGCAATTCTACTTCTAGGTATTTATCTGAAGAAAACAACAACACTAATTCAAAAAGACATATGCACCCCTATGTTCATTGCAGCATTATTTACAATAGCCAAGTTATGGAAGCAATCTAAGTCCATCAATGGATGAATGGAGAAAGAAGATGTGACTGATAATATATATATTATACTATAAATAGTAATATATATTGTATACTACATATTATATTGTATATTACTCAGCCATAAAAAAAGAATGAAGTCTTGCTATTTGTAACAACATGGATGGACCTAGAGGGTATTATGTTAAGTGAAATAGTCAGAGAAAGAAAAATACCCTATGATTTCACTTTCATGTGGAATCTAAGAAAACCAACCAAACAAATTAAACAAAACAAAATTCATAGATACAGATAACAGAGTTGTGGTTATCGGAGAGGAAGTGCGTTGGCAGTGGTAGGCAGATGGGTGAAGGGGGACAGTTGTATGGTGATGGATGAGAACTAGACTTGTTGTGGTGATCACTTTGCAGTGTATATGAATATCAAATTATTATGTTGTATACCTGATACTAATACATCATATACCAATTTTACCTCAATTTAAAAAAAGAGTATAGCTGAAATTTGTTTCCTAGCCAAAATATATATTTCTGTATTTTATGTCAGTTGATTCCATTAACATTCATTTCTATCACGTAGTGTCTTTGTATTTACTGCTGCTGATCTTAATTATTCTTGGTCTTTACAAGAATTTCTTCTTATTCTCCCACCCTCTTTCTTAACCTGTTTTTGAATGGGCTGTATTTCCTATGCTCCATATTTTGCCTCCAATTCACTGGAAGCAATATCTTCTTATTCTTTTAAATTGAAATTGCATTTTTAATAAACACACTTAGGCTTGTATTGTTCTCTCAGTGTCTAGAGTTATTTGGTATCTTTTCCTAAGTTAAAAACTGGAACTTGGTTTTATTTCTCTTTTTCTTCTTATTCCCTCCATAAATTTTCTGAGTCCGTGCGGTCTGAAAATATCTCCATTTGACTTTTATACATGAATGAATATTTGGCTGTGCTTAGAATTAAGATTCAAAATGATTTTTCACTTAAAAAATTTGCACATTTTTCTTCATTGCCTCTCTACATCCAGTTTTGCATATGAAAATTCCAACTTCCATCAGGTTTTCATTCCTTGTTGCTTTTACCTTCTGGAAACTTTATTATTTGTTTATTATCCTTGATGTTCTAGATTTTCATCAAAATATATCTAGGTATATAGGTTTTCAATATTTATTCTCTGCATTTGGTGGCCTTTTAATCCAAAGTTCTAGCTTCCATTCTGAGACATTTTCCCCCTTTAATGTCATTGCCTTGTTCTCCTTCTTTCTCCTCTTTCCTGGAATTCCCATTGGCCGAATTTTGAAACACCAGATTATGCAGTATATCTTAATGTTTTTAATATTTTCTATATCTTCTCTTTTCTTACATTCCAGAAGGAAAATGTAGTTAACTGACTTTTCTTCAACTGAGTCTTTTCAGCTATTAACTGCCTATGTTAATTTTTTAAACATTTTTAATGAAGTATCATTTACATACTATAAAATTCACCCATTTTAAGTGTACAATTCAGTCATTTTTGGTAAATTGATAGTTTTGCAGTCATCAC